GGGAGGCTGAGGCAGGAAGATCGCTTGAGCCCAGGAGTTCAAAGTTACAGTAAGCTGTAATCGAGCCGCTATACTCACTCTAGCCTGGGTGACAGTGAGAACCCATCTCTTAAATAAATAAATAAATAACAAGATAGGAAAGGAGGAAACAAAACTATCCTTTTTCGCAAACATCACTGTAGTATGTAGAAAACCCAAAAGAATCCATAGGAAAGACAGTAAAATTAATAAATGAACTTAGCGTAATTATTATAATAAGACAAAATAAAAATATAAAAATTAATTCCATTTCCATGTATCAGCGACAGTTGGAAAGTTTAAAAAATGACACAATTTGCATTAGCATAAAATATCAAATACCTAGAACTAAATCTAATAAGATACAGATCTCTACAACAGAAAAGAATGTAACATAGTTTTATAATTATTTGTGCATATATATATATGTGTGTGTGTGTGTACACACAGACATGAGTACACACACAGAAACTGAAGAAAATCTAAAACATGGAAGGATTGGAAGATTAAATATTATAATGATGTCAATTCTTTACAAATTGATTTAATAAAGGTAATACAATTCTAATGAAAATCCCAGCAGATCTTTTTCTAGAAAATGATGAACTGGTGCCAAAATGTATTTGGAAATATAAATGGCCAAGAATAGCCAAGACAATCTTGAAAAAGAACAAAGCGGAGGACTTACTCTCTGTGATAAAAAGAGTTTTATGATAAAGTCACAATAGTGAAGAGAGTTTGGTACTGGTGCAGTGACATATAAATAGACCAAAAGAGCAGACCAGAAAGTCCAGACGTGGACACTTGATTTAAAACAAGGGTGACAGTGCAGAGCATAGATAAAAGACAATCCTTTCAATAAATGGCACTGGGCCAACTGGATTCCACATAGAAGGAAACAAAACCTGACCCCTACCTCATATCATAAACCAAAAAAAAGTAATGCCAGGTGGACTGTAGATCCAAATGTGAAAAGTAAAACAATAAAACTAGAAGACAATACAAGAGAACATCTGGTGGCCTCAGAAGAGGCCAGTGTTCCTTTTACACAACATAAAAAGCACTAACCATAAGAGAAAAAGTTGATAAATTGTGAACTACATTTAAATTAAGAACTTTTCATCAGAAAACACCATTCAAAATACCATCATTTCCCTATCTGTAAAATGGAGATAATAATTGGACTTATCAGGTAAGGAACATTGTCGTGAGTTTTCTGTGACTTAATAGACAGATGTAAAGGATTTAGGCTATGTTTGGCACAGAATATAATCTTTAAAAAGTAAGAGTAAATGGAAGGCAAGGAAAGAGGCTCAGCGAGCAGCAGCCAGTCTTCACAGGAGAGCAGTGCAGTCAGGGACATACAGTTAGAGAAGCTCAGAGGACAGATCAGAATGAGAGATGAGCCAGTGTTCCTAAGCAGAAGAAAGGGCGAGAGTCACAGGCGAGGAGACACAAGGAAAACCCGAAGGAGGCAAAGTCTCAGGGAGAGACAGCGAGGCAGGGATGGAGGATCGGTCGAAAGGGCAGAGCAAGAGGAGAAATACGCCCCCTATGAGATAGGAGGGAAGAATGCTTTCGGTTTCAGGGAAGTTTTGGCAGAGTACAAAGGGAAAGAGATGCCTTAGTTTCTCCTTTCTTCAGGAAATAAGAACAAAGGTCATCTGCTGAGCCAGTCCGAGCCTGGAGTCGAACCCTCTATTGTCCAAAAGGAGTGACAACAGAGCATGTCCAGAAAGCACAGTGCACTCAAGACCAAAGCGAGCAGATGAGGCTTCCAACTGACGCTTCTCCGAGCTTCTAAACTAAGCAATGCGTTTTACTTTTCTGAGCACTGCATATGTGAAAGAAATCCAGTGAGCAATCCCCATCACTTAAACACCATGAAATTTCATCACCTTTCCTTCCTGACTTACCAGATGGTCAGTAAAACAGTAAAAAAATAATGGACGCCTAATAAAATGGTGTCATTCAGACAGAATCTCAACATCCTGACGATAGCCTGTATTCCACCTCATCACCCCTGAGTATCCTCAAGTGTCAGCTTAAACCAAACACAACACAGGGCTGTCAATGTGCAAAAGATTGGCTGAGCTCACCGGTTGAAGATGTTCTCGCTGAAAGCATACTTCTCCAGGCGAGTGAGTGGAGGCAGGTTATCCTGGCCTGGAATGTCCAAGAAGGCCGTTACCCTCATGTTGTCACAATCTGGACCATAGTCTTCAAATCCATCTAAAGGGGAAGAGGAAAAAAAGTACCCACAAGTGTGCATCAACTGTGACAAGTCACACTTGACCAAAAACATGGTCATGTGTTATTCTTTCTACCTTCACTGTCCTTTCCAGCTGAAGCATCTAAGAATAGCAAACTTAAGAATTCATCTAAAATGAAGTGAGCAGTTGTAGAATCCCAGAAGAAAGGTGACAAGGACCAGAGGCATAGAGCAAAGCAGGGCGCCTTTCTTTCAATGCTGTCTGATGCAGTCACCTCTCGCCAGCATGAATGGGAACCACACCCCCCACTCAGAAACAAGTGGACAAAGAGACTCACCTCCATGAAGAATGGCCATGTAGTGCTATCCAAATAGGTTTACAACAAGTAAGTTCGACCCTGTTAGCAAGAATCTGACAGCAAGTCCACTCTGCATGTGGGCTGTCCTAAATGTACTCACACAGCCTCATCTACTCTATGACATCAATTCCCACCACCGCCCCCGTGGCCTGGCTACACCCAACCAGACCCCTTCACATGGATGTGGCTAATAGGCTCCTCCAACTTACTCAGGCCCAAAACGAGCCAGTTATCATCCTTACTCTTTCTCCTTAAACCTGCTCTTCCCTCCAATGTAGTGGGGTGGCTGAGCTCATGGGCTCTTGCAGTCAAACACACCTGGAATAGAATGAATCCCACAACTACTACTTACTAGCTGTGTGGCTATACTGAATCACTTAACCTGTCTACACATCCATGTTCTTACCTTACGGGTGGGGATAAAACCCTACCCTTGTGCCGACAAGATGCTGGAACACGTAAGTTCACACATGTGAAGACCTACGAGATCTGGCCAATTTTGACACACCCCATGCTTTGGTTTGTAGGAACTGCCAGCGGCCCTCTCAACCCCCAAGGCATTCTGCAAATGCTGTTCTCCACCTGCTGTCTCCTATCTGGCCTTTAAGTCTCAACTAGGGTGCAGCCTCTCTGGAAAGCCTCCCCTGCCCACTCTCCTCACACCTCAAGTGCTCCTGGTGGTGGCAACCTTTGCCAACCTCCTGCTATGTTAGTGTTAATGATTTATCTGCAGTAGGAGCTCCCAAGGGCAGGATTGTGTCCAGCTACTGTTGGATTTTCCAAACCTAGCATGACGCCCTGGCACATTAAGTAGACGCTCATTAAACACATAATGCATAAATTCACTTTAAGACTATGCATTTCACCAAGGACGCTCTCCAACAAAACAGCAGAAGTTCTTAACCAACCACTAAATTAACTTAATCTTTGCATCCACTCTATGAAACACATTGACTAGTCCCAGGGCACACTGAGCATGCATAGCTAAGAGGCTACTCTGTGGGAATGATAGTGGTAAGAGGAGTTGTTGGGATAGTAACACAATTAAAAATAATGGCTACATTTTTCCAGCACATGTAATGGGCCTGGGCGGGGGCCAGGGAGGTGCTTTGCATACGTGATTCAATTCCCACACCAACCCAACTCAGTGAAGGCTATTCCTATCTTAATTTTACAGATGAGCAAACCAATACCTAGAGAGGGCAAGTGACCTCCCCTCGGTCGCTCACCTAGCTGGCCCGAAGCAGAAGCGGGCTCATGCGCAGCTGTCCTCTCCTGGAGTCCTCTGCTCACTAAGAGGCAGTTCTCTGTGCTCCCGGCCCTGCTACGCCCATTGTTCTTCCTACTCTAATTCAGTAATTTGGTGAAATACTGTGTAAAACAATGACATACAACTGTCAAAAGAAAGTTGTTATTTCTGAACATTAGTTTGAATTCTTCAGAAAGATTCAATAAAGATGAGTTACTAAAAAACAGCTGTCAAATTAGGAGTGGGTAAAACAAGTGGAAAATACTGTAAACACACTGTAAAAAAACAGTAAGGGCTTACATTCACGTTGCCTGCACAAGTCTTCTCACCCCGCACAAGACACTGAGCCTGGAAATGTAGACAAGGCCTTATGGGTGTGGTCTATGGAGGAAAGGAGAGGGTATATATGCCAAGACAAGGTTCAGATCACAAGATCAGCACATGAATCTGCATTTTTAGGTTAAAATTAAAAGTTTTCGCCTTCTTTTTTTCAGAATCCCTGCTATAACCAACTTTTTCTATTAAGCAGATATCCCCTCATTCCGTGCCTGCAGAAGAGGGCATCCTAGGGATGAGGCAGGTAGGAACTGCGTGGACTCAAAGTACGATTACTAAGAGGACTTTTGCTGTTTCAGAGAAAGCCTGGCTGGAGCTTGTGCACAGTAAAGAGAAATATACCTAGTAGAGCCCTCCCTTCCCTTACTATCCCCACCCAACCTTTCCATTTTTGATCTAGAAAAATAAAGAAAAGAAACAGGCTGCCAAGGACTTCCCTGAGGCTAGTTTTATCAAGAGAACTGCCTCAATTGTTAGTTCCAGAAAGATTACTTGGCACCTACTACAGAGGTGAAAACTATATAGCTGGGCGAGTAGCACTACTGGCACGAGAATGCAGAGGAGTCCTACCTGGCAGAGAGGAAAACCAAGGTCAATTTTGACAGTAACTGATAAGAGTTTAAAGTAAGAGATGACAAGTTTATGCCTAGGTTCTTCTTTGAAACACCAAGCACATTTTTTCTCAACTAATTATTTTAGGCTAGTAATAAAAGCTTATGAAAAATTTATACTGTATAACATTTACTCAGAAAAATTTAATAAAAGAATTATATATTTGTAGAAAAAAATTTGTGCAACATAATTAAATATGCCCTTTCTCTGCACCCTCACTGCCTCCGATGGCACAGGTCTACACTGGATCACAGCCAAGCCCTATGACCAAAGTCACCTGATATGAGCTATTCTCAGTGCATTTCAGAGCCCAGTAGGAACATGCAGCCTTCACCCCACAGATATTTACAGAGCACCCGCAGACCCAGCTGGAGTGGACTTGAACACATTACGTTTAAAGCAGTGGTTCTCAAATTTGGACGGTCACAAATAGTTTTGGAACCTGAAGATACCCATGGACATACACACTTAGAACTTTTCACACAGAGGCTGGGCATGGTGGCTCATGTCTGTAAACCCAGCACTTTGGGAGGCTGAGGAAAGACACTCACTTGAGACCAGGAATTCAAGGTTACAGTGAGCTATGACTGAGCCACTGTATTCCAGCCTGGGCAACACAGTGAGACCCTATACCAAAAAAAATATATTTAAAAGATTTTTTATAAAAAAAACTTTCCATACAGGATCAGGAGTTCCAAAAGATACTTTAAGGCCCACTGTGTACTTTATGGGTTAAGAACTTATCGTTTTAAAGTAACGGAAAATATCCGGACACTCTTCAAGAAACTATTTAGTCAGAGAACTAAGAAACTTAGCAATTAGTTCCACTAAAGAATAGTTGTTCTTGGAGAATATTAATAATCCTACTACACTAATTGTGTAAAACAATACTAACTATACACAAGGAAATAAAAGGTATAAGTCATAAAATACTGGATGATAATTTGCCCTTATTGGTTACTTCCAGTAAGCCAGGAACTATGCTAACAGCTTTCTGTGTAGCAGTACTTTGTTAAATCTTGACAACGACTGTATTATTCTCAATGTTTCTGCTAAAAAAAAAAAAAAAAAACAACAACAACAAAAAAAACACCCTGAAGCTCAGAGAGGTTAAGAAAGTTGCTGAAGGTCACACAACTAGAGAATGGCAGAGTCAAAACTTGAACTCAGACTCCAGACATTGCACTGTGCTATACTGCTAGAGAGGAAACCTACATTTTAATTTTCAAAGAAACCCTTCCTGCCTCCCACTCTAAGCCTCACTCACAGTGTCCTTTAGTTCTTCAAATACACCAAAATCCTGCATCTTGATTATTTTATACCTGCTGCTTCCATGGCCTGGGACACTCTCATTTATACTCCCCTCCTCCCACCTGAGCTTGGGTATCAGGGTCCAAAAGAGCCCACCCCTGCCCCCCAGAGAAGGCCAGTCTCCCACTGTAGCCTCTCCTGGAGCCGGGGGCTCTGTCTTGCCAACACTGGCCACAGAAGTACCGCTGCAGGGATCATGATTACACCATGACTAAGACTCCACAAGGGCGCGGTGACCCCAGTGCCCGGGGCAGTACCCAACAAGTAGTAGGTGCTCAATCAACAGGAGCTCATAGAAGGAATGACACCTTCAAAAGAAACTTGAATGCATGAAACCAAATACTGAAAAAAAAATGTTATAATATAGAATCATAAAATAAAGAAACAAGAAGAAGCCTTAGAACATGCTTGACAAGTAGAGAGATGTGCCCTAAAAACCAGCAACAGAACTGGGATTCTCAGAACCCAAATGTTCTACACGCCAGCCCAGCCTTCTTTTGATGGATATGCAGAAGAACTTACTGAGAGGCTAAAAGACAACACAGCCAAAGGGAAAGGTGATGGTCTCTAAAGAAACTGAAGGCCGGAGGGAAAGACTCCCACTTCCAGCCAAGATGGCTAAAGAGGGACCTGACTGACCCTCACCGTTTACACAACCAGAAAACCAGAACAAATAAACGTAACAAGAGTCTTCAGGCACCAGACAACAGGCAGCACAGGATATGACCCCTCAGAGTAGGGACACACACAAGGGGAGCCCCAGAGGCAGCTTCCAGCAACAGAGACCCCCATTTCAGGAGGCCTAGGAGGTTGGAATTTGCAGGGCAGGGAGCCACGGAGGTCAGCAGAGTGGCCTCCGTGAATCTTAGCTAATCCGTACGCAAAGGAGAAAAAGCTACCTGCGGCTGGGGAAAGAACCATCCAGCATTAAGACGGAGTAAGCAACAGTTTGGGTTCCCTCCAGGCAGAGAAGAACCACCTTGTAATACGTGGCACGTGGATGAGAATCTTCAAAAAAGTACTGTCTGAATAGTAGGCTAAATTAGTCTACAGTGGAGCCTTATCTAGACCTGCCCTAGCAGAGCTTTAAAACAAGCCTCAATGGAATCCAACGGAATCCAAGAAAGTTAACTAGACATCATAACAAAACCCA